AACATTGAGAATATCACTATATATTGTTGCAACACCGCCGCCACGACCAGTCTGACGAGGCTCATGCTTATATAAAGTATATAATTTTGTAATTTAAAAAAAAGATTTAATAATATACAATTAACTATATATACATTATTCACACACACACACACACACTCACTCACACACACACTCATTCACTCACACACACTCACTCACTCACTCACACACACACTCACTCACACACAGGCAGAGAGAGAGATGAAGAGCGTTACTGACTCTTCCTCGTCGTCGCCGGAGTCGCTGTCGCTGCCGAACAGAGTCTTCTCATCCTTCTTCCCTGCATCCGTCTTCATCGTGTCCACCTCATCCTCGCTGTCTGAGCCCAGCTCCTTCAGTTTAGCAGCTAAACTCTTATCAGGAGCTCCAGAGCCTTCATCGCTGTCAGAGTCTTCATCATCAGACACCAGCCTGCTCTTCTTCACCTCTGCAGAGACACATCAGACACCAGCCTGCTTTTCTTCCCCTCTGCAGAGACACAAGCACCATCATCATCATCATCCGGTGACATCATAGAGCAAGTGTTAATGACAAACCGTAATTCTACCTTTCTCCTCATCTTCATCACTGTCTGACAGAACGGCTTTCTTCCTCTTCACTGAAAGAGAATTCACAACAAAATCCAGTGAACGTTTCATTTATAAACTTAATTTATTATAATAATATATTATTATTGTTATTATAATAAAATAAAATTGAAAAGAAGATTCAAATGATATATTATAAATATAATATTAATAATAACAACAACATTCTAAACTATATATATATAGGCGCATCTCTCGCCCCAGCTCACCACGCCGGCCAGGAACCAGGTGCCCCTGTAGTTGACCACGAAGGGCCCTCCGCTGTCCCCTGTGCAGGCGTCCATCTCCTCCATCAGGTATCCGGCGCAGAACATGTTGTCCGTGATGACGTGCTCGGTGGAGTTGATGCAGTTCATCTGATCAGCCACCGGGAGCAGCACCTTCCTCAGGAAGCGGGAGGAGCGCCGCAGGAAGCCCGTGGACCCCCACCCCGACACCAGGCCCTGCTCTCCGGGCCTCAGCAGCCGCGTGGCCAGGTTGGCATCGGGAAGGCAGGCCGGGACGGAGAACGGACCCCGAGCCACGGGACGGGACAGATACAGCAGAGCGATGTCGCTGTCGAAGGTGTAGTCGTGGAAGTGAGGGTGGAGCACGATCTTCTGCACCGCGATCTTCTGCTCGTCTCTGTCGGGACGCATCTTATCATAGTCTCCTGCGGGAATGTCAAACACATGTCACACTCACACTCACACACACTCACTCACTCACACACACTCACTCAGCATCACACTCACTCAGCATCACACTCCCTCACACACTCTCACACTCACTCACTCACACACACACACACTATGCTGTACATTTACCATGGTTGTTACGGTTTCATGTAAGTTGTCCGTATCTGTATGTGCACTCTATTTCACATTTTCTGAAGTTCAAGATACAAGAGCTTTATGTGACGTCAAGCTGATGCACACTATAATTAGATTAGATTGGGAGGTGGAATATTTTCTTTACTTTACTCTTTACTAGTTGGTGTCATTACATTGGGTTTATACTTATGTTGTACTTTATATTAATCACAAATCACAAATTTTATATGCATATTTTACTCTTTACTTTTTCACTTTTTATATTTAGATTATTAATAGTTAATATAAAGCAAATGTTCACTGAACATATTCATTGGAATTATTATTTTATTTGTTACACTATTTTATAATGTAACTTGCAGTTGCGGGATTTCTAAAATAAAAAAGACTATTTATTTATTTATTTGGGGGAAAAAATCATGCTTAATTTCAATGATTATTTATTAAATTGATCAACAGTGACAGTAAAAACATGTAGAATGTTAAAAAATTTCTGTTCTGATTTCTATTTCCAATAAATGCTGTTCTATTTAACAGTTATTTTAAATTGTACTAATAACATTATTAAACATTGATACATTTTAGTGACCATAAACTTTTGAAAGGTAGTGTATATGTAAGTGTAAACACTCAGAAGGGCATTTTAGAGGAAGTTTACTGTTTTTATTCTCGAGTTTTTATCTCTTTCTGAAACTTTTAGGCATGCACATACACTCACACACACACACACTCACACTCCCTCACTCCCTCACACACTCACACTCACACACACACACTCACTCACACTCCTTCACACTCACTCACTCACTCACACTCACTCACACACACACTCACTCACACACAGGCAGAGAGAGAGATGAAGAGCGTTACTGACTCTTCCTCGTCGTCGTCGGAGTCGCTGTCGCTGCCGAACAGAGTCTTCTCGTCCTTCTTCCCTGCATCCGTCTTCATCGTGTCCTCCTCATCCTCGCTGTCTGAGCCCAGCTCCTTCAGTTTAGCTGCTAAACTCTTATCAGGAGCTCCAAAGCCTTCGTCACTGCCAGAGTCTTCATCATCAGACACCAGCCTGCTCTTCTTCACCTCTGCAGCAGAGACACAAGCACCATCATCATCATCATCATCATCATCATACAGTGAGAGTTAACCGTAACTCTACCTTTCTCCTCATCTTCATCACTGTCTGACAGAACGGCTTTCTTCCTCTTCACTGAAAGAGAATTCACAACAAAATCCAGTGAACGTTTCATTTATAAACTTAATTTATTATAATAATATATTATTATTGTTATTATAATAAAATAAAATTGAAAAGAAGATTCAAATGATATATTATAAATATAATATTAATAATAACAACAACATTCTAAACTATATATATATATATATATATATTTATATTCATGCAATAACATAAACACCTACCTGTGGTCCGACAACACCTCCAGGTCCTGGTGGGCCAGTTTTGCCTTGGAAACACTCCAGTCCATCAGTTAACATCTGGAGAAGACAAAAGCTGAAACAAACCCATCAAGATGCTTTTAACTCAAATACGAGTGCATAATCCAGGGGTTCTCGAAGTCTACATTCAAAAGTTCCAAATCTGAATTTTCATCAGTGTCAAAGGTCCGGAACAATTGGTTATTACAAAACTTGTTTTTAATAAACAATGCATAACAAATAAACACATTTTTGGAAAAAAATAAAGTGCATTTTGCATTCAAAATACATTAATAACAACTGCAAAAGTGGCAAAAAAATTTATTTAAGTGTCAGCATTTTTTAATGAACAAAACACAACAAGAGGTAGGGCAAAAGTAACAGTGGCGTTTGACATTTCCACTCTTCACAGCTCCAACGGTCTCGTTACAAATCAAACAGAATGGCTTCGTGCTGGATTGGGGCAAAATGAAGGCATACCTCTCTGTCCAATCATCTTTGAAAACTCTTATTTTCTTCGACAACGGTTCTTTGACGAAACTGACATCCAAGCCGTCCAAGCGCTCATACGCTCACTGGATGTCATGACAACAATGTCACGCAGGAAAACTTGAAATATCTCGCCTTCGCTTTCATTTCGGACCATCTCCAAAAACTCATAAAAAACTAAAATGATTTACAAGTTTAACGTGCTTTTATCAAAGTAGGAAATCCACACTTTTGTTCCAGCTTTTGTCTTCTCCAGATGTTCACTGATGGACTGGAGTGCTGTGGATTACTTGTGGATTATTGTGATGTTTTTATCAGCTGTTTGGACTCTCATTCTGACGGCACCCATTCACTGCAGAGCATCCATTGCTGAGACACTGATGCAATGCTACATTTCTACAAACCTGATGAAGAAACAAACTCATCTCAGATGGTCTGAGGGTGAGCACATTTTCAGCAGATTTTCATTTTGGCTGAACTATTTCCTGAAGTCAGGCACTAAACCCAAACCATCAGCCTGACCTCAGACTGTCGTGATTGGGGTCTGGCCTCCTCCTGCTCGTCCTGAACTGGAGTAGCGCTGCCATCATCTGAACAAATACAATTCAAAGAGTCTTGGTACTTTGATGCATCTTATGGTAATTCATGCTTAACATACTCCTACACCATGGTACATGGCCAAAAACATTGTACTACCATGGTATTTGTCCAAAAAACACGGTACTTTGATGAATTATATGGTAATGCATGTTTACTATAGTCATACACCATGCTACGCCAACGTACTTCAAAGAATACTGTGGTGTTACCATGGTAAATGCCCAAATACGTGATATTACCATAGTAGCGCTGCGTCAGTGTGTGGAAGAAGAGCGTGTTGTGTTGTTGTACCTGAGCGGATCTCCTCGTCTCCATCCATCTGGACTGTGGACGGAACCGCTTCAGTTTCACCCGAACACACACACACACACACCCTAATAACAACAATAAACCCAAAACAGACGCTGAGCTGCAGTATCGAAACCCGGTTTTTCTGTGGATCAGCGGGGATCTTTTATCTTTCCGGGTTTGTCACATGCGCTCTTTATTATGTAAACTGTTCATTTATTACTGATTGTAAGTAACTGTCCCTGTTTTCCTTTCTTCCTTTCAAATGGTGTCACCGCTCCGGGACGCATGCGTGCGTACGCGCCGTCGCTTTTAAATTACGTCAGTCAAAACGTCATTTGAAGGGGCGGAGCTTCGCAAACGCGCGGAAGGCACGTTCTCTAGTCTAGTCTCTAGTTTGGAGAATGAATGGATGGAATTAAAATAATATTATTGTGTGAAAATTATTTAAATGCGAAAATATATAATTTTATATACTTTTATTATTCAAACAACATTTTATTTTATTTTCAGAATACAAATATTTTTATTATTTAACAATAAAAAATAATTGTTGAAATTATAAAAAATATTAATAATTACAATAATAATAATTTAAAATTAAAACTATTGTACTATTTTTGTATTATTTTATGAAAAATATATATATATTATTTTATTAATTTATATTAAATTAAAATATTATTTAAAATAATTCAAATAATTCTATAATTTAATTAAAACAATTATATTATTTAATTATATTTTTATTTGAATTTTACAATATTATTTTAAAGCATGGCAATCGCAAAATACAAATGAAGAGCACAAAGAACCGAAATCAATGTATACAACTAGCTGAAGTTTGCTGTGCTTTATCCTAACATTACACAAAAAATGCCTGCAATCATTCAGTCAGGGACGACTGCACAAAACGTGCACTGTAAATGAAAAACATTATAAACGGTTACGAAATGATAAACAAATGTAGTTTGTGCAACGCTGGGAATATATTTACCTTTTTTTAAATATTCCGTTAAACCTGCCGAGATACACAGATACGTTTATATAGGTTTATTTCATTTGTTGCAGGCAGTGATGTAGGCTATTCAACAAATGATAACAACTAATAACAGACACAGTTTTAAAGCATCGCAAGCTACAAATGAAGAGCACAAAGAACCGAAATCAATGTATACAACTAGCTGAAGTTTGCTGTGCTTTATCCTAACATTACACAAAAAATGCCTGCAATCATTCAGTTAGGGACGACTGCACAAAACGTGCACTGTAAATTAAAAACATTATAAAAGGTTACGAAATGATAAACAAATGTAGTTTGTGCAACGCTGGGAATATATTTACCTTTTTTTAAATATTCCGTTAAACCTGCCGAGATACAAGGAGCGTGAACTGAAATTCTCAGTTCCACACGCATGTCCGGGAAACTCATGAATATTCATGTATGCTCCGCCCACTGAAACAGAAAATCTCAGAAACCGAAAATTTCGTAACACCGGAAAGCAGCGGGAAGAACCACATCCCTCACCACAGTTTAAAAGTTTAGTTTAGTTAAAAAAAAAAAAAATCATTTTTATTCAGCAAGGATGCATTAAATCGATCAAAAGTGAGTGTAAAGAATTTTGTTTCAAATAAATGCTGTTCTTTTGAAATTTCTATTCATTAAAGAATCCTGAAAAAAAAAAAAT